ACTTGTTCCACTACTGCAAAGTCTTGCTTGACTACAGTATTTGAATTGTAATTGCTGTTCACAGTTCGCTTATCATCATGTTATTACTCAAATTACTGAATCTCATTTTGTCTCTAATAATTTTTTGCTCTATCATGAAAAATAGCACCCCCCCGCACCCCTCAGTAAATCCATCCCTGATTTCAAAAACATGAAAACACTTCGTTTAGATTGAAGAAAAACGAAACCCGACGAAGAATGAACAATCATTTCGTAATTTCATAAAATATTAGCAAAACAGTTACGTTCAGAGCATGCAAAAATGTTTTATGAGTAAATTATATTTTATACGCGAAACGTTTTTACAAGGCTGCACGATTTTCACCGTTTTTGTAACGGCACATTTGCTTTGAGCCCGTTCAAAGAACTTAACATTTCAAATTCTACCCCCAAACTACAAATACAAAACGTTTTGACGATGAAAACTTTATAGTTTTAGCTTTGTCTATTGTTTGTAGTTTGCAGTCTACTCAAATTTTACATGGCGGATTTATAAGGGCATTTTTGTTTTCAATTTGGATACCGGTCACGTGACCAAGCACGCATTCTAGGTCTAATTTCTATGCTTGTATCTCACTCAATCCGGAGCCGTCTTGTTCTCGTCGCTATTTACACTGACACGATATCTACATTACAATTATAATGATTGCCATACAAACCTAATAAAAGAGACAAAAAAATCTGGTCTTACCTTACTTTCATCTTGGCTTGCTTTTATTTCGTCTTGACTTGCTTTCAATTCATCTTGGCTTGCCTTTATTTCATCTTGGCTTGCCTTAATTTCATCTTGGCTTGCTTTTATTTCATCTTGACATGCTTTCAATTCATCTTGACTTGCTTTCATTCCAGCTTGGCTAGCCTTAATTTCATCTTGGCTTGCTTTTATTCCATTCTCACGTGCTTTACTGTTTTTGCAGTCGCGACATTTGACGATTCTAAATTGGCAAAAAAAATTTTCATGGTTTTCTTTATCACTTTTATTGACCTCCGTCCCACATCCTTCATTTCCACACATGACAGGCTCGAATCCACATTGATCGACATGTCTTTGAAGATCTTCAAGCCGAACAACGTCGGGACAGCCACGATCATGGTGGTCGCACTTGATTTTCAGATCTTCCAAATAATTCTTCAAAAATCCTGTAGGACGTCTCAGGGTTTCTGGAGTCAGGGGGTCTCTGCAAACTGGGCATGTGTGAGAATTTTCATGGAGATGTCGTGATATATGAGCTAAACAAAATATATGGTCTTTATTCTGGCAAAGCCTTGGGTCCTTTGGCACATCTTGACAAACAGAACAGAGCAGATCTTCTCTCACTTCGCCTACAAAACGATTCACATCATAACCTTGCTCGTCGTCTTCCATTCTACACGCTAACGTTGAACACTATATATAAGTAAACACAATTTATGAGCATATATATAAATAAACACAATTTATATACAAAGCCGTTTTCGTTATACGGTGTGTCCCAAAAAAAAAGGCTACCCTTTGAAGTCAAGCGCTAGTGCCGCATGTTCGAATTTGAATGCTTTAACTCCCTAATGAGCCTTGGAATGCGTAAAACGTTATACATGTACAGGGTGTATAAAAAAAACGCAACCTCGGAATTTCCTAAGAAATCACTTTGCAATTCTTAAGCATAAAAGATTTTAGGCCCCTGGGAATTGTAATCGAATTGCTAATAGATCATATTACTGCATAAATTTTGCTTTATGCACTCGCGTGTGCAGTAATTTTGACAGTTGTGCTATTTTAAATTCCCAGGCACCTAAAATCTTTTGTCTTCAAAACAATGTCGATTTCTTGGGAAATTCCGAGGTTGCGTTTTTATTGATACACCCTGTATATTCATGCATTCCATTCTGTTTTATTTTAGCGGAACAAATTTCAATTAATTTGCAATGCATGCATAAAAATGCTCTGCTATAACGTTTTACGCATGCCAGGGCTCATTAGGGAGTTAAAGCATTCAAATTCGAACATGCGGCACTAGCGCTTGACTTCAAAGGGTAGCCTTTTTTGGGGGACACACTGTAGTAGTCAGATTAGTGTCTCGTTCAAACTCCTAGCTACACTCGCAGCACAAAAAGCATAGTTATCTTATATACACTAGATAGTGCATCTAATTATTCTGCAATTCAAAAATTGAAGCCGTGATTGCAGTCTCAGGTCGTTCCCATGAAATGAGAAGATTCGTATGTTTTCTATTTCTTAAATTAAACAGGGAACTTAAACATTAGGTTAACCCTATTCCAAATACATTTTCAAACTATTCAAATGATGAAAGTTATTGTTGTTTGTAAGCGTTTATTAGCAAGTGGGAACAACCAACATGGCCGCCATCTATTCAAATGGGGGTAACCGCTGGAATATTCGTGGCTTCAATTTTACTAAAAGAGATGCGCTATCTAGTGTATATAAGATATCTATGACAAAAAGCCGCCATCTCCCGAGAATGCTGAATGTTAATTTTGGGGTGTAGGGAGAATTTAAAGTTGATCAACACCGGAAAAGGACAAATTGGCACATTTTTATTTTTTCCCTTTTAAAGTTTTACTTGTCTCCTATGCAACCAATGCGTAGATATTTCTCGATAAAATTCAATAAGATCGACAAGAAGTCAGGATAATTGCCAGTTGCCAATACCGGAGAAATTTTTCACTACCGGGAGATCACAGGTCTTATACCGGGAGACTCCCGGCTGTGTCGGGAGAGTTGGCAGGTCTGTAACCAAAATATGGATCTAATCAATCTAATGTATTGCGAGATCGAATAAGGCAACATTTCCTTTCCTTTATTTTAACACCAAACATGAAATATAGCTTTATATGAGCGTTTACTCAAAGCGCAACATGTACTTATGTTGTCTACCAAATATTTCACAATATTCTCGTATTTATATTTTATTCTATATAAAAGCTTGGTCCTCGCACGTCCTATACTAGTCCTCGCACGAAGCAACTCGCTAGGGGCTCTGGCATCTTACTAAAAGGACTTACAATTTAAAAATTCGTACATTGAGACTCCGATCGTACGAAATCTGATGAATTCAGAACCGTACATCGCATTAGTTCGCTTAAAGATGCGGTAAAGTCCGTTCTGCGCATATATTCTGCGCATCAAAACATTCCATCAGTGGGGAGCAACCTTTGGAATGTTGTTAATATTTCGCACCTTCCAAACTTTCTTTAATTGAATCTCTAGTCTGTATTCATTTACAAGCATAACGAACCAGAAAAGTGTTAAAAATTCAGTATAATATATATCTAATCATATTTTACAACTGTAGCACTGAGTTCAAAATGTAAACAAAGCGTTTGTTTACATTACGGACTTTACATCACCTTTAAATCATAGTTCGCACGAGAATTCGTACGGAGAGCAGTGGCCAGTGGTCTATATATATATAGTTCGTCTGGTTTGATACGTCCTAGGAGAACATCCATGATCGAAATCATGAAAATTTGAGTATGGTCTGAGACTACGTTCAATGCTCAATTAGTTTGAGCTGTCTTGCTTTGCACGCAACCCACGAAGGCGAACAATTTGAGCTCAGGTAACCGCAAGAATTCCCGTGGGAATAGATGAAACTCGACTAATTTGCGTCCAGTTGCGATCTCGTCATCTCTCATGCGAATGTAATGTACAAATATGAACAAACTTACCAGAAATTTTCACAGCAACAATGTTTTACTGTAGATAAGGTCGTTCTTTCTGTAAAACAATGCCTTTCTATCTGAATATATTACAAAACATCTCGTGATCAAGCTGTGATTTCAAGTGGCTTTCTGACTTCCTGTCTAGGAATTACACAATTTTCAAAATATGTTGATATATTTCACAGAAATAACAATTCTGCACGTCATTTGTTATTATTATGAATATAGAACTTACATTTTAATCATTTTTAATGCGTATATATAGCTTGGAAAGTTCAAAATTTGGCATTTCTTGTACTCAGATATATTACATCATTCGTGGAAGCGATATTTCCATGTAATAGTATACGGAGAAATCGTGCAACGTCACAAGGATTATTCGACTATGACGTGAGAAGGATCAGAATTACAATAAGGATTAGGGTTGTGGTTTTACAAAAGGTTAGGATTTGGGTTATGGTAAGGGTATGGTTGGGTTTTCCTAAAAAAACACATCTGTGTCATGTATCTGTCTTCATGGGAAATGAGTTTCAAGCTGGAATTCTTTTAATTAATTGCGAATGATTTACCGCCTGCAGTGATTTAGGCAGCGTTTACACTGTACCGTTTTCGTAGCGTTCTCATATTGTTTGAGAGAACTAGACTATTGTCTTGCGTTCCCTTGAGGATTAAGAACAATACGAGAACGCTACGAAAACGGTACAGTGTAAACGCTGCCTTAAACAAACACTTGACATGAAGTCAGTGAAAGAAAGACAGACATCGGGGGAAAGACTCCCGGGGAAAATGAATACCCCAAAACACCGAAGAAAGGTACCCCGGAACAAATTTCCATGGAACAAATGTCGCGGAGGTACATTCTCCATAAACACATGCACAGTTTACCAACTTGACAGTCTTACCAGTTTTACCAGATTGTAGATGTATGTCTTGGCTGCGAAACTGTTACCGCAAAGTTACAAGCCTGTTGGCTGTTGTGCATTGGTTGCAATATAACACAAGTCAGAAAAGACTGTATGCCTTAGCTAAGTTACCCCTAACGCAACAATAAAATGCGAACACACTTTTTTAGAACAATTCTCGAGAAGGGTAAAAATGATAGTTTGACAGGTTTTTAGTGAAACTGGCGTTTAACGTAGATCGCGGCGCGAAGGTACCACAAACTTAAAACTTGTAGCAATATTCGGGAGAATTATTTTCTCGTCAATTTTATAACACTATGTTATTCTTCTGCTATCTTACTACATTCTGCGAACCTTTGATAGAAATTAGATAAAAATTCGCTGAGTAATGGCAGATCTCCTGAAACGCGTGCCTAGGGTTTCATCAGGGCGCTATAAAACACGGGCGGTGAAACGGAGATAGCGCCCCTGATCTTTGTGTGATGCGCTTACCGCCCCGTATACATTAATTTATAATGTTAATAAAAATGGAATTGGAATGTTTATGCAAAAAAGAGCTGAAAAAACTAAAGTAAAAAATGTTTTCTGCATTCCTAACAAACAACTTGATGGTTTGAAGACATTGTTGGATTCATTTTCTGTATATCTGATGAAGGAAAAAGGGCTTTAAAGATTCATCATGAGCGAAATAAAAATTTGAAAAGGAATCGAGCTGATCGAATGTGGGCATATTCCAAATACGAAAATTTTGGTATGAAATGGGATATTTTACTTCATAATACGAAGGTAGGATAAACATTTTCACAGTAAGAATATTCTGACATTGCTTGGCTACTATTTTTCAATAATCATATAGCCCAAAATTGACCATGCATGCATTTAAAACAACTACAATTTGAAAAAAAACAACTACTGAACAATTTGCTCGACAATTTGAAAACTTAAATATATAACCGTTTTTGTGTTAACCAGCCGGCCTGCTCAGAATCCATTGAAAGTTCATTGTAAAATGTTTTTAACTAATTGATTTGATTTCTATTATTGGTATAACTGCCGCCGACACTCCAAAAATATTCAGCGTGAATCTTTTTTCGTGCGACTGCAGTCGTTGACATTGCAGTGACAGTGTTACGGAAAACTATAAAGGCTGCAAAATATCTCCAATTTATGAAAAAAGCACAAAAAGCACCGTTCAATTTTACTTGAGACATAAAGCCAAGTTAAATGTCTATAGTTTGGTGTGTTCAAATTTATCTCAACCTATCTCAACGAGGAGAAAACACTATTTTAAATACGTCCGCGCTTTGACAAAAAAGAAAAAATGTCGTCAAAATCGAGTTCAAAATGCATGTCTTTTCCTCAACAATCGCTTTGTTCATTTTGCAAGTGAAATAGATACCAATTTTAGCAATATAAGCTGATACTAGATACTTCAATAAACATTTATAGTATGTATTTGAGGCAGGAAGTGATTTCGTTTAATTAATAATTGAAAATTTGTGTTGTTTAAATATCGTCTTATCTGCATAAATAAGTATATAAGTAGTCGCGGAATTGTCGTGTGGACTATACGGAAAACTATAAAGGCTGCAAGATATCTCCGTTTTATGAAAAAAGCACAAAAAAGCACCGTTCAATTTTACTTGAGACATAAAGCCAAGTTAAATGTCTATAGTTTGGTGTGTTCAAATTTATCTCAACCTATCTCAACGAGGAGAAAACACTATTTTAAACACGTCCGCGCTTTAAATTTTGCAAATATTTTCATCGCTCGAGTAAAATTTTTGCCCTGATATTTTCT